ACACTTGATAAAAATAAATCTTTGCATTACTAATTCAAGCATTACCAATCCCTGCATTACTAATCCCTGCACTATTGATCTTTGTACCAAACGGCCTCACATTAATCAAAATTCAAAGACGTTGATCTCTAACTAGAAAAATAAATACTTGAGTTTAAATTAGAAATCTTGAAATTGAATTTTATTAAAGCTATTTTATTTAAGGTAGAAAAGGGAAAAACTTTTTAATTATGATTGTGATATATTTGTGATAAATATATTTGGTATAATTTAATACACCAATTGATATTATTTATATCACTAAAACAAAAGATAAATTATCCTAGACATAGATAAAGCACCAAAAGGACATATTTATCCCCGACTTTCCTATAAACATATGGAGGTCAAGCATTTGAGAGTCGCATAATTATAAGTGTAATGTTCTTAAAAAATAAATGATTATTTTATATGATGTCTTGTATATTTAATTTTAGTATAATGAACCGAACACTCTACCCAAAAAATTCACATATTATTTACTAATTTCTACATAATAATTCTTGTTTAATTTATCTTTAAACTAAATAATCTGTAAATATAATCATTTGTTATTTTAAAATTCACTAATTATATTAATTCAAATTTACATCTCATAAGATTCTATTAGATGAAAAAAACACTCTACTTGTATTTTTTATTTTATTTTAAAGATTCAAACCAATAACAAATAACTAAGTGATTTGACATATCAAATGTTGTGAAAAAACGTGGGGAGAAAAATTGGTCCATGTTAGGACCCAGTTGAGAGGGATTTTGACCAAATGACCCACATTTATTTATTTTTTCTATGAAACGGAGAATGTTTTTAGGGAAAAAGGATAAATATATCTCTAAACTATCATAAATGGTATGCAAATACCCTCTGTCATACTTTTGAGATATTGATGCCCCTGCCGTCCAAAAACTAGAGCATATATACCCTTTATACTAACGGATGTACACGTGTCATAATTTTATCCACTGATCCAACATTTATTAAATATCGGATGGACGGATAAGATTGTGTCACGTGTCCCTATTTAGTCTTTCGTTAGAGTGAAGGACATATATGCTCTAGTTTTTAGACGGCAGGGGCACCAATGTCTCAAAAGTATGACGGAGGGTATCTGCATACCATTTATGATACTTCGGAGGTATATTTATCATTTTTCCCATTTTTTTATAAAGCGAGAAATTGCGATAAATATTTTTATTTTATTGTGTGCGGAAATAGATCTAAACGATGTTATCTCTAAAATGTTATTGCTTAAATATGACATTATATTAGGAGGAAGGACATTAGACTTGTTTTCCCTGGTATATGATCGCCTTCAATGACAAGACTTCATAAACAAGTAGTTATATGCGACATTTGATTTTTCATTCTAATTCATGTGATAGAGTAATATTTTATTATAATATTTAACTTAGTATAAGTTTAATAAAGCTTGTTTTAAATTTTACACGAATTGATCTCGAAATTGAATCTCAATACTAGTTATTATCCAAAGGAACATCAAATTGGTGTAATAATTAGGTTGTATTTTTATTCCTTGGATCTACGTTGGAGACAAGAACATGTAGATGATTTTTGTTTGTTGTTGGAAATTTCTAAATTCCAATGTGTACGTAGTGTAATTTGTGATGAAATCAAGAAGTTTACACTTTACAGCTAGCTAGTAATTAACACAATAATTAATCCTCCAAGATATAATATATGGGGCTCCATTGATATATCCCATTATAGATGCATATGTCCCTTGCTCTAATTTCTCATGCAATTCTTCTTTTTGTTAAATTACTTTATTCACGATCCCCACCATTCCACCCACAAGTGAAATAACACGATTAATCTCGAGGGTTATAATGAGATGTATAATTTTTTTGCATATTTAATCAAGGGAAAAGAGTCTGATATACCTCTTAATTTTATTATTTAAAGCTGAAATACCCCTCGTTATGAAAATGATTCATATATACCCCTATTGTTACACAAGTAACTCACCTATACCCTTGATTCACTTCTATTCTTATGAAATAAATAATAATTCCTTGGCATGTGAAAATAAAGGAAAAACTACCTAGTTACACAAACAATCCTACCATATTTAGTAATTCTCTGTATAGTTTGAAATAATTATATATTGTCTCACTAATAAATAACTTCATACCAAATTTCAAGTCAAGTACATTTAAATACATGAATTTTTACTATCAAATACACTGAAATGGGGAGAGAGGCGAGCGAAAGAAGGAGAGATGCGAGCGAGATAGTCTATGGATTCTAGATACATGCAAAGTACACTAGATACATGTATCCAAGATACCAGATACATTTTGACATACAAATACATAAGGAGAGAGATGACAGAGGCAAGCGATATATGAGATATATATATATGCAAATCCACTTGGATATAGTGAATCTGGAACAAATTACACATAAATTTGACCTCATTTACCAGAGATACATGTATCTAGATGCGGCAAATACATGTATCCAAAGTCCGAATTCTAATAAGATTCATAATATTGAAAACTCGCGTGAAGGAAAGTAATTTACTGGTAAACTAGTGAAATTTGTATTGTTTGCTCTAAAATAAATAAAGTGCCCCATATTTCTTGAAGTTCCAATATGGAAGAGCTGAAAGAAACACCATTAATGGGCCAAGCTCCGACTGTTAGTTTGGGTCAGTACATCCAAGCCCATCAAGAACCTGAAACTCATGGATCGTAAAATGAACCAAATGGGCCTATGGGCTGGGGAGTCCAATAATGGACCCAAGAAACTCAATGATTCATATTGGGTCCGAGAACCAAGAAAATATTTCTTCTGTCTCAATTTATATGACACGCTTTCCTTTTAATCAGTCTCCAAAAAAATAACACATTTTCTTATTTAGCAAATACATAAATACATTTCCGACATTTTACTTATGTTGAATCCTACTGATTTGACAATAAAGTCCACAAAATGTACTCTTTTTAAGGATAGTTTCAAAACAGTGCAGAATCTTTTCATATTTATTAGACTCTGTGCTTAATCAACTACATCACAAAAATTTAGACAGTATCTGATGGGGAAGGAGCACTAATAATAAAAGGGATAATTTACTGCACTTACAAAAGCTTTTAGAACCTTTCATTGGATACAATAGTCTGTAAAAATATTATGAGCTATTTTATTTGAAGATCGTTATTTATTTTTTAAAATTTTTATATGTTTATCACATTAAAATAATTTCATATAAATGATGTGTGAATTCGTATGATTGACATTCCATATTGATAGTGTCACTCCACCCTCTAACAAGTCCCATTTATAACACTACTTCCGTAGCGCTTAACCTCACCACCTCACACCCTACTTTTTAAAAAAAATATTTATCTAGATTTTATATAAAAATACTTTTAAAATATTATTTTTTATTTACATATCAAACACAAAAATATATATTTAGTTACTTATTTTTTTTTTATAAAATATATTTTATCCGTACCGAACACACCCTTAGATTCCTTTTATATTCGCAACACTTAGATGCCATTACAAACAAACAATTTATTCCTACCAAAATTATGAAAATATTACTTCCTCCGTCTCATAATAACTGGTCACTTTTCGTTTTACACGATATTTAAGAAATCATAAATAAAATAATCAATTTGACTAATTTATTCTTTATTCATATTGATGAATATCAAGATAATTTATGATGAGATAGTGCATACAAAAGGTATAAGTACTTCAAAGTGGATGAGAACAAAAGTATAAAGGAGTAATTAAGGAGTCCGGAGCCAAAAGGGCAAAAAAAATTGCCAAAAATTCTAAAAGGGCACATCATATTTTTGTAAAACCAAAACGGCAAAATCGCTCCTGCCGGAGCGATTTTCCTCTGACACATATTAACGCCGTGTACTCCGTTAAAATGTTTTTGTCTAATTTTTTTTTTCTTTTTTTTTCACTAAAATCGCTGGCACAACAGCGATTTTTTAACTCTAATTTTTTTCCTCCACCTAATATCACTCCTATGGCAGCGTTTTCATAGAAAAAAAAAATTTGGCAGCTTTTTGTAAAAATTGTTTTTTGGAAAATCGCTGCCCTGGCAGCGTTTTCCTTAATTTTTCTTTTTGAAAATCTTTTCTTAATAAGACTGCCTTTTTCAGCGATTTTTTGTTAAAAAAATTAATTTTTTAATAAAAACTCTGCCTTGTTTTTCAAAACGAAAAACAATTTTTAAAAGAATAAAAATTTGAAGAGAAACGAATTTTAAAAAAAAAAAAAAAATTGACTAAAAAGCTGTCAAGGCAGCAATTTTCAGCCTTTTGATAGCTTTTTAACAAAAAAATAAAATAAATATATATATATATGCGTTACTATAAAAATAAATTTTTTTTTTTTTTGGCATTAATTATTTGTTTTTAAATTGCTGTTGTTGCAGCGTTATTATAATTTTTGTGGAAAATTTTTTATTTTTTTTTAGAAATCGCTGCCTTGACAGTGCTTTTGGTGGAACTATTTTTTTAAAAAAAAAATTCTTTTGATTTATTTTTTTTAAAATTTCTATCAACTGGTCAACATCTAATTTTTGAAATCGCTGCCTTGGCAGCGATTTTAGTGAAGAATTTTTTTAAATACAGGAAATCGCTGCCAGGGCGGCGAAATTCCCCTCTAACTTTTTTTTAAAAAATATCGCTTCTAACGCAGCGATATCATAAATAAAAATAGTCTTATATATTCATGATCATTATTTGAATTGGAGTGTGCCAGATTACATAATGGAAGAGCCTAGCAATGCTTCCATGCACTTGAATTCTTTTCAACCGGAACCAACTGATAGGTAAAAAATGTAATGTTTTCTTATTTATTAGAATTAAATTTTTTTAATATGCAATATATTTATATTATTATATTTTATAGGTGTGACCAACTTCAAGATGCAGTGAATTATTATACACAAATTGTGAATAATAATATTATGGGTGATGAACGAGTTGGTGAGTTGCATAGTGATGAACCTTTGGAGCATGAATTAACCGACAATGATGAAATGTATGAGGATGATGATGATGATGATGTGGGTGATGCACCTAATGCACCCGTTGAAGATCAAAGTATTAATCATCATTCTACAGTGATTCCATACTTAGATCACACTGAAGAAAGTGCAGAAGATTTTATCTATACAAGAGATGATGATTCTATCCGAATGGCACTTTGGAATCCGAACAATCCTAAATATATCCAATCAGGTTCGATTGTTGCAAACTAAATATTTTATAGTTATTTATTTATTTATTTATTATTGATTAATCTAATTTGTATATACAACTAGGTATGCTATTTATGAATAAGAAGCAAATGAAATCTGCCGTAAGAGCATATAGTCTTGCAATAAAAAAAGAATTTCTTTGTGATCAATCCAAGAGTAAAAGTTGGAGAGTTATTTGCAAGCGTCATGAGTTGGGGTGTAATTGGATGATTCGATTTAGAGAGATTTCAAGTGATGTATGGAAGACAGGAAAAATGATTGAACCGCATACTTGTCTTACAGATAATTATAAGGAGGATCATTTCAATTTGAATAGTAACATGATTGCCACTTCATTGATACCATTTGTTATGCAAAATCCAGACATAAATATTAAGATGATCCGTGAAATCATCAAAGGAAAGCATCACTATACTCCTAGTTATAAAAAAGCACAAAAAGGTCGGAGAAAAGCATTTCAAATGGTTTATGGTGATTTTGAAAGTTCATTTAAGGCATTGCCTCGATACATGGCTGCACTACAATTATTCAATCCAGGCACTATTATTGAGTGGGAGCATCATTCTACAACAATGCAGGGTGAACAAATCTTTAAATTTCTTTTTTGGGCTTTTAAACAGAGCATTGATGGTTTCAAAAGTTGTACGCCGGTCATTTCCATCGATGGCACACATCTTTATGGTTTGTATGATATGAAACTGTTAATTGCGGTTGGGATTGATGCCAATGGAAATATTTTCCCACTTGCATATGCTTTAGTTGCACGTGAGAGTTTTGAGTCTTGGTCGTGGTTTCTCAAGTTATTATGAACACATGTTGTTTGTGAACGACAAGGAATTGGCCTCATTTCTGACCGTCATCAAGGAATCTTGCAATGTATTCAATCTTATGATTGGTTGAGTCCACCCAACACATACCATAGATTTTGTGTTCGACACTTAAAAGCAAATTTTAATAAAAAATTTGTAAATAGTGAACTCGAGAATTTAATGTGGTTGGCTGCTACAGAGCACCAGAAGAAAAAGTTTGTGCAACGGATGCAACAAATAAAAATATTGTCTCCTGTAGCATATGAATGGTTAAATGAATTTCCTTTGGAAAAATGGACAATGTATAAGGATGGTTGTCGTAGATGAGGTGCCATGACGACAAATGTGTCTGAGTCATATAATGGTTTATTGAAAAAAAGCTCGGGGGCTTCCTGTGACTGGCATGGTTCGAATGACGTTCAAAACTCTTGTTGATCGTTTTGTCGAAAGAAACAACCTTGCAATCGCAATTACTTCAAAGTAATATGTCATGGCCTCTTGCAATAGATAAAAAATTTAATGATTATTATCAAAAAGCTCAAAGGCACACAGATATGATGACGTACAACACTGGTGATGGAGTATTTGAAATTCTTACTTTTGCTCATGATGGTAAAGGTGGAAATGTCCACAAGGTTACTGCAGAAGGTAAGAAATGTTCTTGTGGAAAATGGAGAAATTATCATATGCCTTGCTCGCATGCCATTAAATTTTGTGGACTTCGCGGAATCGAGCCAAAGTCATATGTAAGTAAATTCTACAGTACAAAATATTACAAACAAACATACACTGAGACATTTACCCCAGTGGGTGATGAAATGTATTGGCCGCCAACTCCTTTTAATTTAATTGCAAATACTGAATATTTGCGAACATTTGGTGTGCAAGTAAGAAGCCGACTTAAGAATGATATGGATATAGCTCCGGCTCACATGGCCAGAAAATGCAGTGTTTGTAAGGAAACAGGTCACACAAAGGCACGATGTCCTACTCGATTTTAAATATATTGTCTATGTTTTTAAGATGAATGTAATTTTTCTGTCTTGTTATTAATATTATAATATATCATTTTTAAATAGTTATTTTCTGTCTTGTTATTAAAATTATAATATATTATTTTTAAATACTTGTGTATATGAATTTAATCTGTCTTGTTGCATTTTAAATATATTGATTAAATTAATCTTTCAAGTAAGTTAAAAAGTAAAAAGATAATTTAATATTTTGTAAGTAACTACATTTATATTATAATTATATAATTGATTTGACCTAATTTAAAAAGTATTGATTTGACCTAACATAAAAAGTATTGATTTGACATAACTTAAAGGAAAAGAAACGTCCTGCAAATGTTGAAAATAAAGAGAAGAATCTCACTGCGATGACAATAAATTTCAAACTCTTTGTTTAAATTTACACGAAACAACAAATTTCAACACACATAAAAATCTAACGGAAAATATAATTGACAAGACAAATTTTTGACACGAAATGACACGAGCAGCAAAAGTCAAAGTATTTTCGTAATTTTGGTGAAAAGTTAAGGGTATTTGGGTAAATTTATTTACTTCGTGTAGCTAAATTACCCTCAAAAGTAAAACCACAACTTTTGAAATTTTTTATCATTTATGAGGCCCATTTATATTTTGCCAAGTGGATTCATTTCAGAAAAATGGCCAAACATCTTTCTCTCTTCCTTTTAACGTTTTCTTTTTCTCTTTCTTACTTTTTTTACTTTAGTTTCTTTTCTAGCAATTCTTCCAAATTTTATACTTCCACTTAAATAATTTTATTCATGAAAAATATGAAATACAAAAAATCTTGTCGGACTCATTCTATTTCTAACATTTTGATATTATTTTTTATCTCGATATTGTTTATTTATATTATTAAAAAATAGTTATATAAAATTATTTGTTTATTTACAAAGATATAATTAATAAAAAAAAATTAACCAAATAAATTTGTGAAAGCACAAGATAATAGTAGTATGAATAAAAAAAATTTACACTGAGAGGTAGAACTAAAAAAAAAAGCTTTAGAAGATGCAAAGATAAAATAAAAAATGGATTTTTGCATTGAAAAAAGATACAATGAAGAACGAAAAAATTTATTAATATTAAACATTAAAAACATTAAGTGGTTATAGAATAAATAAAAATAAAAATATATTTGGCAATTAAAAATTGAGTGATTAAAATTGAAATCTCAAAAAATAAATTTTTGACTAAAATTTAAATAATTAAAATAATGGAGTGATTTTTTACTTTATTGGTGAGAGTTCAATTTATTTTTTTAATTTAACTATCTTCAATTCCTTTGAATTCATCCAAAAAAAATTAAAATTTTTCTAACATATCACTTTAATTTTCCCTCAAATAAATTATATATATATCGGGGGGTGAGTTTCAAAGTTTATTTATCAAAATAAAATTATAATAAGAGTTGGAAGCAAAAAAGAAAATGCAAGTAAAAGAAAAGATTAAAATTGGAAAAGATAAAGTGAGGAAATGAATAAGTACAGTATGACCCCACATATACAAATGGCAAAAAGGCCTCGCACAACTGACACTATCAAATTTTTTCCAACTTTTTAAAACTTAAACTACTTTTGAAAAGTTCAAGTTGTAATAATTATTTATTTCACACTGCCCAAGAAATTTTTATTTAGTTTCATACTTTATTGAGCTTATTCGATTTTTTTGGGTAAGATTTACTTCTATTACTACCAAGTTTGGGTCTCCATACGTTTTCATTTTAAATAGTGTTTTTTTACCCTTTTCGTTCATAATTTTAATTTGGAATAATAAATCAACGACAAATCCGAATTGATTAAACTACCTTTGTTCAAATATATTTGTTTTTTGTCAATTTTTACATCGTTTAATTGGCTATTCTGACTAGTCGATTCCATTTTGTTAAAATTATATAAACCCAAAAACAAAATAAATTTTGATCAATAAATTAAAATAAGAACGGATGAGAGTGAAGAGTGATAGATGTAGGAGAGGTGATGGAAGGTGATATAAAGAGTAAAGTAAGAGAGAGAGAAAATAATTATTAAAATGTCAAAGGTGATTTTCATTTTTGGAGGGAAATACAAGTGGTTTTGGAGCAAAAGGGGCATTTTTGTCATTTACCTGTGTCTTGACAATTCATGCCAAAATTTTGTCTTACCAATTAGCAGTACTCAAAATCTAATTTACTGCATAAAAATCTTTAGCCTTTCAAATAAAAATACATAAAAATTATTCTTCTGAGTTTTCCGATTCTTCTACGTCTTCATTTTCAGAATCTCTCTCATTTTGATAGTGACTACCTGTTCCACATCTAGTTGATTTGTGTAGCCTAGATGTTCTTCGAGGTGGATTTTCTCTATCAAAAATTGAATGTTGTGAAGCTTCAGCATTAAACCTTGGATCATGGGACACGGTTACCTATAATACAATACAATATAATATAATAAAATAAATATGCACAAAAAATTAAGAAGAAATTATAAAATTTCTATGAAATATTCAACCTTACATTTGAAAAATTCAACCTCCCACCAAATGGAGAATTATGTATTGGAAATTCACGCATACCATGCTGAATACCATATTGAGATCCGCTGAATTGCGCAAAACCAGATAGCGAAACATGTGGAGTTACAAAACCAACTGTTTCTTGACTTGAAAAATTAGTATTAGTGTTAGAGGGGCCTGCAGAAAAATCAAGTGTGGGATAATAAGGCTCGGGAGTAACCACCAAATGTGTGTTATTATCAACCAAATTATCTCCATCAATCAAATGATGCTCCGCACGATTTCGACCACGACCTTCACCAACGCTCCTTCTACCTCGACGTGCACTATCTCTATGTGTTGTTTGTCGCGATCGGCGAGATACTTGTACTGGTGGTGGTTCATCGTAATCAGGAGCAAAGCTCAATCGCGTTCCCTGGAAGGTCGCATTCATTGACTCCATTGAAATACGAGCGACTTCCTCCGCATATTGTCTCATTTCATTAGATTGATTTTCATCATTTTCAATCATCCGAGCTCGACGATACTGCATTTCATGACCCCTAGCCTATAATGAATAAAAAAATATTAATAACAAAAAAATTGTTCAAGATCAACATAATAATTTAAAATTTACATAATATACATACTAATGCCTCATGTCTTCCTGCCATGTGTTGATACCCTTTCTGTACAACATGTGAATTTCCAATGAACATGCGGAATGCCTCATGTACCAACGAAAGTAATCTGCTTGATCACTTACATATGGAGGTCGAAAAATACGATTTTGACGTTGTTCCCATAAATATTGTGTGTAGTTAAACACATCTATATCCTCTTGTTTTATTTTGGATCGTTTATCACGCTTAAAATGATGTTCGAAAAACTGGGTCCACGGTCCAAGAATATGTTGTAAATAACCAAACTGTCTCATAACACGATCAATCATGTGCCACTCACGATAAATTCCATAAATAAGTGGCACATGTGCCATCCAGACAGATTGTCCTGACCGACACCACTCAGGCAATCCATTAATAACATCTTCTGAATAAGGTTGCCAAATAAACTATAAAAAAAAATGTAAGTAAGATAATTATTAAATTTTTTGAACAAAAAATAAAAACAAATATGTACACTAACTAAAACAATCTTATGAAATATTTTTTTTGTACTATTATGTCATATAATATCTTATTTTGAGGACCTACCAAAAATCTACGTATATGTCATTATATTCACATGATTTTCTTGGATAGTGAGATATAAGTGTGAATAGTTAAAAATTTAAATAAAATGGGATACAAATATGAATAGTTAAAAATACTAATAATATTTAAATACCTGATCATCGGTTAGATTATCTAGTACATCCCTAATCACACCGATTACAGTTCGTGCCTCATTTTGATGATTTCTACGTTGCATCCATTTACGTGCAAGCGCAGTTAAATCCTCAAGTTGATTGGTCCTTAGAGATTTCAGTAATGGTTGCAGGGGAATAATACGTTCCCATGCCCAAATCTACAATAAATAAAATTCAACATTTCTTAGAATACAATTAGAATTAAAAGTGCATATTACTAGTATATAAAAAATAATTAAAAATATGTATACCTGCACTAAAGAGAGAAATCCACAAACTTCATTTGATTGTTTCATTGATGCACGACATAAACAATTATACAAATATGATAATGCGGCTGCTCCCCATGCTTGTGTTGACATTACATTTAAATTTTTCATGTCAATCAAAAGGTCTAAATTAAGTTTATTATTAGATTTATCTGGAAATATTGATCCACCACATAACCATAATAAATATAATCTAAACCTTTGTTGCACCTCATGCTCAGTTGAATGATCAGTAATATCATCTAAACCTTCAATATGCTCAATTAATTTATATGTTAACAATCTACTAACACCAGAAAAACAATCATTATCTGGTAATCATCCCGTTAATTCAAACATCATTTCTTGTCTACCAAAAACTCCTAAAGTATTAGCGCCATTTAAAATTATAGGACTACCATCTATTACCATTCCGAACAAAATTTCTACATCTTGTAAAGTTATGGTAGCCTCACCAGTTCGCATGTGAAAGGTATGCGTTTCTGGACGCCACCTTTCAATTAAAGCAGAAATTAATCCGTTGTCATACGGCACACATCCTACATCAAGAATTCCTTTAAATCTACAATTTTTAAAATATCGACGAATGCGAGGATGTAAAGGATGATATTTTATATGTTGCCAAAATTCAACATCACCGCGACGCGTATATAAGCAAGAATTCTCTTCCCTTAAGCTACCATTCCAAATTCCTTCGGAACGATGATGAACTTGAATTTTTAATACATCATACTCTATTGGACCAGGATGTACGTACATATTTGATGGATGCATATCTATATACAAAATATAAAAATAAGTGTTAGTGTTAATATAATTATTTAAAGATGAATATATTCACAATACCATATAAAAGTTAAAAATTAATTAATTAAAAATAAAATAAGTCCAAACTTACCTTATAGAGGAAGACTTTTGAAAAAGTTTGAAAGGAGAGTTGAAAAATTATACTTGAAGTTTGAAGGGAGACTTCAACCAATTTATAAGAAAATTTTAAATGAAACACGTGAACTTTTTCTATTTTTTAGGCATGCATCTGAGTTGGATTCTTTTTTTTTTAATATGACATGTGAATGTTTGAACAATTAAAAAACAAGAATTTGGAAGGAAATTTCGCTGTTAGTTAGTGACAAAAAATAAATTTAATACGATTTAAAAAAAATATAATTGGTAGCGATATTTATAAAAAAAATTCCACCAAAATCGCTGCCAAGGCAGCGATTTCTAGAAATTTTTTTTTTTCCACAAAATTGATAATAACGTTTAAAAAAAAAATATTAATGGAAATCCTGCCAGGGCAGCGATTTCCAAAAAAATAAAATAAGTTTATTTTTATAAAACGTTGCCATAGCAGCAATTGTCATTTTTTTTTTAAGAAAATCGTAAACACGCTGCACAGGTAGCGATTTAAAAAAAAAAAGAAAAGAAATTTACCATCAGATGTTGACTAGTTGACAGAAATTTCAAAAAATAAAATAAAATAAAA